GAAACACATGAAGCCCCTTCACACACTGCTGAAAAGAAGCACATTTACCCCTCTTCTTGTTAATACTTGGGGTATGGGAAATTCAGTGTATTTCTGGTTCATATCACTTTCCTTTGTGTTGATCCATAAATCAGTTCTGCTTAATTTCTGCATTAATCTACTTTTTAAAAAATCTGCACAAAATAATCATATTTAAATACGTATTTTTTAATTCAATCCCCCCAAACCACATGCATGTTTTATTGTTTTATCTTTTGTAAATTGCTTTGAGGTTTTTTGGGTTGTTGGGTTTTTTTTTACAATCAAGTGATGTATACATTTTATGAAATAAATAATAATAAATACATACTTAAGTGTATTTCTGTCTCAAAACACACATTTTTAAATGTATTCTAGCCTAAGATATGGATTTGTAAACATTATTTGATAATTTTTAAAAGACAAGTGATTGTAAACTCCAGAGATGTATGATATCTTCAGGATAGCTACATTCTGATCCATACATTATTAGCCTGGGAGGCGCAGATCAGGTCAGTTCACACTGGAATTTGCAAAGCCTGTTCACATTCTCCAACAAAGAAAAAAACGGGCACCTGCACACACAACTGCTTTGTTCATGGTGACCACTTTTCTCCATTGCCTGAAGCACAGAACTGCATAACTTCAGCTCCTGTTCATAGCAAACTGAAGGACAGTAGCTCAGTGGTACAGCATCAGCTTTGAATGCAGAATGTCCCAGGTCCAATAACTGGCCTCTCTAGGAAGGGCTGCAAATGTCTCTTGCCTAAAACTCCATTGTCAGGGCAGATGGATTGCTGTAGATTCTTATGCTCCAAATGGAGACAAATGAGATGCTAGTCACAAACACCAGCCCTGCAGAGGGTGGAATGGCCATGCACAGTTTCCCTGACGTCTAGACAAGCGGAACAGATTTGTTCAACAGCAGTGGGAAAGGCCACTGGCAGTGTTGTATGAGGCTGCTCAGTATTTAACACCGATGCAATACTTTATTGGCCCAGAGGAAGGGCAGAAGCAGAGATTGGGAATAATTTGAGTGAACGCAATCTTGACAAGGAAGAATATCACAGCAAAGGGGAGACAAACTGGCCCTGTCCATCAGCCAAAGATGGAACAGCTGCAGGAAACATGCTTTCCCCCTTCCTGCCAGAAAGAACACTCTGCTCCAAGGGCCAGTTTCAGAAGCAAGAGGGGGAAAACACTTTGACAAGGGAACAAGAGTCATGAACTGCTATTGAAGCAAGAACACCAGCAAGGGAAGACCAGCCTGGCCCAAACAAGATAGAAGTTGATGTAGTTCACTGCTTTATTTTGTCCCAGAAGAAGTGATCACCTCCTCTGCCTTTCCCCTCCACTATTCTTCCCTTGTCCGTCTTTCTAGTTATCTGAAAAATGGGGCTAAAAACATGTACTAACTAAGCAATAAGTAAATAAACAAGCTTTTTACCACCTCTACCCTGGAGGTGGTGCTAGATGCTTCGATTGAGTCCATTCACAAAAATATGCCACCATGTATAATTCAGATTAGAAAAGTATGCTGCCAGACATGGATTTCTGATTTTTTAAATAAAAAAGTAAATTTGATACTGCTGTTCTTGCTGCTGTTGTTTCTGTTATTCTCGACGTGCTCCTCCCCACTTTTTAAAGTAAAGAGATTTAACTTTTTGGAAGACTACTGTCTTTTACACAGAAAAGTCAGACTCTGAAATTGCTGAGATGCAATTTCAGGCAAGATACAGGCAAGACCAGGGGTACATTTTCAATTCCAATAAACTGTTGTAAGCATCTCAGGTGCACAGTAATTACCCCACAAATAACCCCCACACTGCAATTAGCCTTTAAAAAAAAGCCTTCTATTGGCCAAATGTGGCTCGTTCAGCAGAGGGAAGGACGGGGGAAAAGACCCTGTGGGCATTAGGGAAAGCCTCTGAGGGCACATAGCAACCTATGTGGCTTGATATAGCTTGGAAGGGCTGTGATAATAATTCCAGAATTAAAGGGTGGAATTCAATGAAATGAAGCTTCTCCCACTATTACCTTACCTCCCACTGTTATCAGTGACTAGCAGCAGATTCACAGCAAACAAAATAAACACTTCTTTACATTTCTCGGACTGAATGAAATTCCCTTGCATTAAATGTGGGCATTGCTATTAGGTCAGATAGCTTTAAAAGGTGAGTGAACAAGTCCATGATGGCTCTACAGAACTTCATGCACAGAGGCAGTGTGAGAGGAAGCCACAGTAGAGAATTATTGCCCTCAGTGCCAGAAATGTCTGGTTGGCCTCCATGGAAAACAGGATGTTAAGCTTACAGTAGATGGACCTTTGGTCTGCTCCAATATGACTCCGCATTGCAAGAGGAGATGTATCTGCTGAAATTCTACCCACTCACAAAAGGCACAGTACCTCAGTTCTTTCTTAAATCTGGATACCTTATTGGAATCCCATTTGAAAAGAGATTATCTCTTTTAGTTTCCCTACCATAGTTTAACAAAGAAAGAGGAAAGGTCTTCGGTGGCAAGGTTTCCACCTGGTGAAAAAAGAAGGGTTGGAGGTTTCACAAGACCACTGAGTCAGTAAAAGGCTATAGCTGTTTCATTATTGAGCAATACCTCCGTGTCGGAGCTTGGCTTGCTAAAATCACAGTGGCAGCTTCAAAGCTCTCCTTCCGACATATGGAATTAGGCAAGTGAGAAGAGCGTGAGTGGAAAGGGAAACACAAGTGCGCATGCATTCAATTAAAAATTGAATACACATGTTAAGCATTTTGGAAAAAAGTGCTCTGAAATGGAACACTGGTCCAATTTGGAGCTGTTCTGGTCTCCTGGGTAAAACATTAAGTTTTCCAAAAGTTTGCGAAAGCATGACTTTTACTACAAAGGCCAGATCAATTCAGTAAAGTGTTCTTTAACGTACATGAAAGATCTGCTCCCATAGGAATGAGTTACAAAAAGTCTATTTTTTTTCTCCAAATTGTGGCAGAAATTCTGAAGAGCAAATGTCTCCCATCTGGATGTCAGCTTTTGCACATGTAATGGACTGTGTGTACACAAGTGGTTGGGCACATTCTGCATATAGAGAATACATATTTTTTCTCAGGCACAGATTTTTGTGTCTCCTAGTACTCAAATTGTTTGTGCCAAATGACTGCCTGTTCACTTCTGGAAGTGTAATCCAATGTTGCAGATCACTTGGGCTTGCATGGTCAGAGCAAGAGGCTTGCAAAACAGACCAAATGGCACATCTAGAACATGGAATGTTACCTCTCTTTGGGCCCATCCACACTTCTGCTTGTTCCATGCTATGCGTCTGGATTTTCCCAGACTTTTTAGCAATTTCTGCCTGGACACTGTTTACAAGCTCTGAATACCGGCTATGTCTGGAAAATTCCAGACATACGGCAACCCTAAGTAACTTTCTGTCCATACAGATTCATGCATTGCTTCAGTGTCCAAAAAGGCACAACTGGAACAATCTTATCTCAAGTATGGGGTAAATTAGCATAGCCTACAAGCTTTAAAGGACAGTTTACAGATTTGGTTTAAGTGAGAGCCATGGTAAGTTGACATACTCCTCTCCCTGTAAGCTTGGTCCCCACCGTTAGGTAACTGCCTAACGTGAAAGAGATAAGGAGCTCAGGTTTTCATAATGACCCCTGCAGTATGCTATCGTGTGTGAATTTGTCTGAAGTTTCTTCTCTTAAAAACTGTGCCTTTATGAGAATGAAATCACCTATGGATTTCCCCCCCCCCTAAATCAGTGTCACAAACACAATGCTACAGAATTTAACATTGGCCCCTGTGATATCTAAAAGACTTTGCACGTTTATTGTGACATAAGCTTTCACAGAGCAGAGTCTAATCCACATTTATGACAAGGTATATTTGTTAAACCTTTTAAGATGTCACAGGGATCCTGGTTGTTTTGCCTAGAAAACAAGTGCCCTTCTGAAATTTGCGACCAAATATAGTACACGCAAGGGGGACGCGGGTGGCGCTGTGGGTAAAAGCCTCAGCGCCTAGGGCTTGCCGATCGAAAGGTCGCGTTCGAACTCAATGCACTACAGTTTTAGTAGTAAATGCTTAAACAGTATTCCATGGATGAAGTGTTCGGACAGCGTGCCCCCTTTATAGATCTTTGCAAGACACAAAGTACCTTACATAGTACACGCAACAATACTTAATTGTACTTATGTTAAATGCTTACAGTATTCATGTGAAGTTTTGCCGCCTTATGTCTGTGCAAACAAAAAGCTACAATGCAGAGTTATTTCCTCTTTTAAGTATGCTGGCAAGGCATATGACTGTTAGAAATTACTGTCTTGGTTAAAACAAAATTTTAGCGCTTGTTAAAGCGTTAAGAGGAATGCTGATGGGGTCAAAGCAAATCTTCTGATAAAGCTGTAAAAATCACCTCCAACACGCCAACGTGACTGAATGCTACCATTAGGCTCTCATGCAGCCTGTTTTCCTGCAACCAGCAATTAGCTGCGTAACCCTTCAGTGTGGTAACTGAGTTTAGAGCATAGCTTTAATAATAGTGGTAGCAGGATGCACGTTCTCTAATTCAACTTGAAGCCATTCTTTTTTCCTCCCTTTAGACCCACAGAAAGTTGCCTGTGAGTATGTTAAACTGCCCACAGCGAGGTTCCCAGATGTCTTCTAAATACATTTTGGGGGTAGGTAGTGTGGTAAACCAGAATTCTGAAAATCTCCTGTATGTAACGTACATTTTTTAACTTCCTTCTTTAGGCTTTGCCTCTGGTTCGTCAAATAAATCTTTTTAAGGAACTTCACACACCTCAGGACCAAAATATATACATTGGTGCGGTATGTCCTACATGCAATTTGGTTTCAAGTGGGAGCTATTAAAATGGGTCCCCCACTGAATTTGCATTTTTGGAAGAAACCAGAACTGAAAGGGTTAGGATGTGTTACTGCAGCGGTTATCAGCAGACAGCCATCTAACCTTTGGTACTTACAGGAATTTTATGGCTCTTGATCATATTATCAAATTCTTCATTAATTTTTTTGTATTTTTCTTCAGTGCGTGGGGTGAGGGCATAAGAGGAGTCAGGATCGGGGCTTTCACAGCCTTTGTTTTCTTTCTTGTTCAATGCCTGCCAGGTTCAGAGAAATATCAGAAAGTAAAAAAAAATGAAAGGGAGTTCAGAGTACTTACACATAATCTTTGCCTGCTGATCATTAGATCAATATCTTCATTAATTTTCCTGTACTTGTCCTCTGACTCAGGGCTGTGACCTACTGAATCATCTGCATCGGGGTCTGGGCTGTCACAGCCATTAAGTCCTTTCTTTCTCAACGTCTGAAATACATAATTTGGAAAGTTCAAGCCTTGACATAGGCTGCAAGAGAGATCCAGGGCCTTGAAAACAGTTCAGGCTTCCTGGTGGTTGAAAGCTGTTACATTTTACATCAGGGAGAGAAAGAGGAGAGAAACGCATTAGGTCAACAAACTACAGCTCTTGTTACCAGCGGCAAAGAGAGAAGCCAGGTGACCTCGTCTGAATTTGGAGTCAGTCAATAAATGCAGAGAGTATACAATCTAATAAAATGTCTACGCTACCATCTGTGATTATGCCTGCAATGGAAACATCAGTGGGTTAAAATTTCAGTATTCACATTTTTTTTAGCACACAGAAAGGGTAATGGATTTGATCAAGTAGGGAGCTGCTAGCACTTCTCTGTGAACAGAAAGATGATCCCAGAAACAACAACAGGCAGTTTTCAAGGTAGTGCAGTTTTAAGCCTGTAATAGCTTTTGTGTCTCTTGCTACTTCTCAGGGCAGGACTAAAATAAGGAAGTTAAGTCAGGATACACTGTCCAGTTAGGTTACAATTTCAAGTCGCTAGGCTACTCTCACCCTTACACCCAAATTATAACACAAGAAGAGACCTTTAAAACATCTTTAAATACAAACAACACATTATTAATTATGTTTATCAAAGAAGACATTGAATGAGCTTCGAAATGGATAGAACTCCTGGATGTAGATTCTTTCTTTGTCCCACACACAAGCTCTAAATTCAACAGAAAAATTGATGTATTTACTTATAAGTAATGCTAAAGCATAACTGAGCAGCTCAACATGCCTGTGTCTACATATACACAACGTACACTTTTCTCTTACTAAGATCTTAAATATAGGAGTGCATGGGGGGGTAGTCCTTCTCTCTTTGTTTCTTTTATTTCCTTATTTCTGTGTCTCTTTTAGGATTTCTAAAATCTATCTGTTGTTAGAATATGATGATAAAGTGATACTTGCAATCAATTAAATTAACCCACATAAAATAATAATTTTTAATCCCATGCTGACAGAATCATAGCATCGGTGCAACATGGGCCACTCTATGGGGGATGCTTGAAAGCCAGGATGCCACCACTGCCTTTCCTTCAAGGAGCTCAAGCTGGTATGTATGGATCTCCCCTCCCCTCCCTTCTCATTTTATCTTCTCAGAACCCTGAAGGTAAGCTTGGCTAAAAGACAGTGACTGGCCCAAGATCACCCGCTGAACTTCACAATGGTGTGGGCATTTGAGCATGGATTTCCCCCTCACTATCACACCACATTGGATCACCACATCACTAGTGCAATATCTGGGACCATCAGATACATGCCTCAAGCCAGTTGAAATGTCTCTGCTTTAACTTGAATTTAAACAGTAGGCAAAATGGCTAAAGGGGAGGAAAAAACTGCTAGGGATGTTGTTGTTACTGAAGTCCCTTGCATGGTTGTCTGAAGAAGGAATCAAACAGCACTAAGGTAGTAAAGTTTGTTCCTTGTCTTCCTTGTCTTGCCAAATGAAGAGCAAGGTGTTATTTTTTTCTGACAGCCTCAAGCTCTGTTAATTTTTACCTTCGTTTTGAACTTTCTCTTTTTAATTTGACTATAAAATTAAAATGTCTCTCCAGCTTGTTGGTGATAATTTTCTCTGAATGCCTCTTTTTAAAGAATGAGACTATTATCAGGGGATCCGTACCTGGATATACAGTAAGTCCTATTAAACACAGTGGGAACCTTGCAAGGAAACACTGTATAGCAGCAGATTGTGAAGTCCTGGACTGCTCATTGTGAATTTTGTATATTTTAGTTTCTTGTATTACCCAGGAAAATGATTTTTAAAAAATCTACTCCTAGAGTCACTTTTGAACTCCATCAGGTGAACAGTAATCTAATGGGTCTCTTTTCAGATTTCAGTAGCCTGGATAATCAACGCAACAAAACCACAAGGGTTCAAAGTGCCACTCTTTTAAAAATCCTTCCTCGTGACACAGTGTGTAGGAAGGGAACAAACCCTCAAGTGCTGGGGGGAAGCCTATTTCCCTTGGTCATTGCTTCTTGCTGCAGATCTGAAATGTCTTTCTCTGTCATTGAAGGCCAGCCAGGTCTTACGCTCCTTGCTCCCATTAGGAAGATTTATGTCTCAAGTAACTCAAGGAGGCAGAAATCTGTGCAGTATATTCCCAGTCCACCTCTACTGTGAGTACAGAGGCTGCCACTGTATTTGGTAATGCAGAAAGTTCAATAAAGGTGTTAGATAGCATTTCTGAGCAGTAGCTCTTAGTCACTCAAAACGCTGTTTAAAAACTGGTGCGTTTTATGGTGTAGTTTTAAAAGAGGCAAATTTTAAGGATTTCAATTGAACAAACTCATCGTTGACAATTCAATGCAGTCAAAGTGGCCAGATCTGCACTCAATATTCAGCAACAGTGCTTGCTTATTTAAGTAAGCACAGCAGAGGCAATGTGACAAGCTGATAATTTAACATCTGCAAAGCTACCCATAGATGCAAACCGGAACTGGGAAAAGATATGTGCTTTTGCTTTGCTTTCATTTTTTGAACACCATCTATTAGCAGGGTGGACTGTAAACAATTGCTACCACTGCCACTGCCTCCATATCACATTGTCATTTCTGGTATGGCTACTAAAGAGTCAGGTTGTACTGATCAAGTGACCGTTTGGCTCCAGTCATTGATTCCTAATGTATGGTTTGAATCCCAGTGAAGTCATTGTTTGAACAGAATGACTTCTATTTGTGCAATGGAGCTTTCCCTCCCCTCCCTTCCCCTCTCCTCTCCTCTTCCATGTGCTACTCACAGTCAACCAAATCTGCTCTGGATAGCTGGGGAAATGCCAGAGCATAGGGTTGCCATATTTCCAAAAGTAAAAGCAAGGGAAAAGTTATTGAGCTTTTTTTAAGGCAAACCCGCCTTTTGGAAATCCCCCCCAGACATCAATTCCACCTTTGAAATCCCAGTAATGTCCGGGAAAATCTGGACATATGGCAGCCCTACCAGAGCATATTTGGGGTATTTGTGCAGGGGCAGGAGAAAGAGTGAAAGTTGTTCTGCTCACACAATGACTTTGTTGGCTGCAACCATATATCTGAGCTTATTACGCAGAGTCCTATGGCACAATGGGGCAGTGTGTCTGGCTGTTAACCAAAAGGTTGCTGGTTCGAGCCCACCCAGGGACAGCAGTGGGCAGGATTCCTGCATTGCAGAGGGGCTGAACTAGATAGCTCTTGGGATCCCTTCCAGCTCTCCAATTCTATGATTCTATACCTCTGAATCTCATTTCAAATTCCAGGATGTTCATAATGCTCTAATGCAATATGTTTTCTCAACCTTCTGCCTTAATATTAACAGGTATGAAGTGGTAAAGTAAAATTTAAACATTACTGAACCCCAACTTATAATCATTAAGGAAAATCACCAACTTTCAAGAGGAAATAGAAAAGATTAAAAGTTTTCCTTATTTTTCTATCTCTATTTTTTCTCTTTCCTTCTTTCCTTTTTCTTCATGTTTTTATCTTAGATTAATGTTGGAAGAAAAAAGATATTTGAGACTAAGTTTTGTGCTTCTCTTTATAAACTCTAATAAAAAATATTTTTAAAAAGGGGAAGTCAACAACTGACAAAAATGACGACAACAACGTTCGTAGGGCACAGTTTCCTAGGATGGAAACTTCTTCTGCGCAAGTCTCCTTGAACCGGAATGCAAGACACACAACCCCTCTCTTGATCTCAAGAGACTTAATGCAGGATACATATCTGGTGGGCTATGCCCACAGACACACCAACATCCTGGGGCACTGGCAGGGATTGAGTTTAGTCATCCAGACATTCATCAAGAGCCTCTGTGGGGAGGAGGGAGTGAACGAGGGCACATCAAGTGATCTGAAAACATGCAAGTTGGCTCCCTGTTCCGTGAGAGCTCAGCAGTTTACAATCTGACATAAGGCTACATCACTAGGCATCAGCAATTTTACTTATCCTAGATATCCACACCTGTCAGCGACTCTGCACCTGTTGTCTATTCTGGCAAAGACCAAATGACAGCAGCCAATCGCCGTTGCTTCTGCTGCAACATGGCCATAGATGGCTTTTCTCAGTTGTGTCTCTGCAGACTGGGGCTGCTAATCTCTGTGGATTTCAGCAGTCTGCTTTTTGTACTTGTAACGTTGTCACAATTTTCAGCTCTTCACTGTGCTAAGTGTTTAAGAACATAATATTCATGATTTTTAACTTGTTTAAAAAAATCCAGGATTACTTTCCACAATAGCTGTATGTATTGTCCATTCCCCAATGTTTCATTCTACACCTCACTCTGCAGTATATCATGGGGATACTGAAGCCATATCCAAATAGGGTTTCCTTCGTCTCAGTGGCAAATAGTGTGTGGGCCTTGCTATTGATGAGATCTACACTGTGGAGCAAAGGATTAAAAAACCCCACCCCACCTCTAGCCTTGTATGCCAGGGTCCAGAAACCAAATCAGGGAACCCATGCAGAATTTTTGAGAAAAGAAAAAAACCCTTGGTGGGAGGGTAAAAACTACAATCCTTGTGACTGGCATATTGCGTAGTTTTCACCCTCCCACCACTTTATCACATTAAAAGGAGAGAGGCACTGAATTCTTTCCCCGCTTCCTGCAGTTGGTGGTTCCAGACCCTTTATCCCTTTACTTCTGGTGCCAGTCCCTGAATTGAGTTGGGAAAGGAGAAAGTGGGCAGTGGCAGCTGTGAATTCAGTGCTTCTCTGTCCTTACACAGATAAAGGAAGCTCCTCCATCCCCAGCGACAGAAGCAGACGAGACGATGCATGGAAATAAATGCGTATGCACCACCTCTTACTGAGCCTGATGCTGAGCATCTACTTAATAGGAAGCCACGGCATATCCTGACTCCCAAATGCGTGCACCTGCACAACACACACACACATCTGCAAGCAGAGGTCTGTCTCAGTTACACTTTCCATGTTTAAGTTTGCACTTGAGGAACAAAGTCTGGTGCACGTACA